GTGATCGAAGGTAGGGGTGAAAAAATAAAAATTTGAAGTTAAAAATATTTTTTAAAAACAAATTTAAATTTTTTTTTGGGGAGTGGGGGGGTCGAGGGTAGGGGTGAAAAAATGAAATTTTGAAATTGAAAATATTTTTTAAAAACAAACTTAATTTTTTTTTTTTTTTTGGGGGGGGGGGGGGGGGGTTGAGGGTAGGGGTGAAAAAATGAATTTTTGAAGTTGAAAATATTTTTTAAAAACAAACTTAAATTTTTTCTTTTTGGGGATGGGGTGGGTGGGGGAGGGGGGGGGGGTCGGCAGAGAGTTTTTGAAAATGTTTTCCTTAAGTTTTGAAGGGAAATCATCCTTAAATTTGAGAAAAATGAGTTGATTTGAAAAACATTTAACCCAACCAAACAAGAGAAAATTGAAAAACATTTCATACCAAACACACCCTAAGCTTCATAAATTAAAATCTTGGGTTAGTCGATATTCTAGTATTTTCGGATGTAACATTTTTTCGGATCTAGCACACACATATATATAGAGTAGACGAGCAAACGAGGATAAATTAGGCTTTTAAACACTACACCAAATAATTGTGTCAAAAACATAATTTTTCGCTATATTATATATTTAGCAGCAATAATTAATATATATATATATATATATATATATATAAAACCAACACTCATATAAATATCGCTAAAAACTTTAGCAACTTTGAACGTAATAACTTTGAATGTAATGACATTAATTTAATTGTCAAAATATATATATATATATATATATATATATATATATATATATTACCATTACATGTTTTTTTTTGTCATAGTTAAACATGATAAACAAAAATATAACATCTTATTATATATAACGCTCAACATAAGCAGATTCAGGAGGAGGATTTACTCCCAAATTTAAAATCTATACGTATAATAATATCATTTAGAGTGTGATTAATTAATACTATATTAATTAACATAACTTAATGTCTTCGATCTGTTATTTTTGTAAATCCCAAATTATATCAGCTCTCACATAGTAAATACCTAAGTCCATTTGAATGAAATTCTCTATATTCCCTCTATTTTATCCCTTCAATACATAACATACTTCTTTTCTATGGATTGTTTTATTCGGAGAGCTTTGTAAGATTCACATAAATAAAATAATTATTTTTATTATATCATTTTTTAATATATTAATATAATAAATTTGATATACTGAAAAATAATTATAGTCAATAATAATGATAAATTAATAACAAATTATTTTTTGATTTTTCAATCAAACAAATAAAAAAAAAAAATTAGTATAATGACCAGGTGAACAAACCAAGTATTAATTTTATTTTATTACAATTACCCTTTCCCCTCTATTTAAATTCCGTTAAAAGAATTTTGGAAGACTTCCCTTAAGACTCAATTAAAGCATTAATATTACAACTTAATAATGTAGTATAACAATTAAGGGAAAAAAATGCCATAAAAAACTTTTCCTACTTTTGTTTAAAAGACATTTTTCTGAATATTTTTAGTTAAATACAATGATTTTTAAAAGAAAATTGAGATCTTAAATGAAAAAAATTAATGTATAATTAATTATTTTTCCTACTATTTTATTATTATTAAAAATGTATTATGAGAAAGTGTAACTCAAAATAAATTATTGATATAAAATCAATGTTATTGGACTAGTGCACAACACAAGCTATCCGTAACTAGTAAAATAAAAAAAATGTCTTTATTTATTGTCATTTGGATCTCATGTTTTCTCTTGTTACAATTATTTTGAATTAATGACAAACGTTGAGAATTTGTCCTAGATCATTTTTTTTTCTAAATCAAATACGGTCAAATAAAAATGTAATACCAAAAATTTGTGTCAGAGTAATTTTTTAGGGAAAATTTCAAAATAACAACATTTTAGCATTTAATAGGATCACTTAGCTACACTTTCAATATTTATTAAAAATAGCTATATTTTAGTTTGATATCGGGCTGAATTATGTATTTTTTTTCTTTGGTTTAACGTAACAAAATACAACTAAGAAATAATAAATTAGAGAAAATCAGGGGAGAAAATCTTTCAAATTAGGTAAATAGTGTTGAAAATCCTCATTTACGTTACAGAGATTAGGAGAGCCAAATAGGCTCTTCTCTACCTTCTTCGTCAAACTCCATTAGCGACTTTCAATTCTCCATTGACAATCTCCCTTCATCGTAGAAGTCAAGTGGATTGATCAAAGTTTTTGCTGGAAAAAAGGAGATTGCTATCAGTGAAGAAGATTTTCAATACAAAATTTGATCAATAGGAGATAACCGACCGGAAAAACTCGTTGAAATACATAATTGGCAGGCAAATCCAATTTGATCTTCGAGCTAGTTTTGATCAGGTATTCAATCAAAAGTTTGTACGTCTGTATTGAATACAAACAGTCTACTACATTCTGAAATGATAACAATTTCAAAAAATATACTAAATTCTAAAAAAACACAATATGTTGAGGAAGGATGCAATATTATGAAAGAAATGTAAGTAGACTGTGAAAGAAATAGAATACAAGTATATGCTTATAAAATACAAATCCATTTGGCATACCTATTGGAATGACTACAAATTAAAAAAGAAATACAATGTTCTTAGTAAAAATACAAATGTTGAGTAAAGAAAAATAATTGACAAACAAAAATTAAAATGAATACAATTTAGGTATGAATACGAATTTTGTTTATGCAAGACAAATACAAATTATGTTTATGCAAGATGAATACAAATTTTGTTTATGCAATATGAATACAAAATTAATATGAATACAATTTTGGATTTTTAATGTACATCTTTTGAAAGTTTTTTATGATTTGTAAAAAAATAAAAAATAATAATTGTGAAACTTTATGAGAGAGAAGCTGGGAGTTTGATTTTAACAAGGAAACATGGAGAGAATGGAAAGTGGGAGAATGTGGGTCTAATTTTTGTTGTAATTAAAGCCCAAAATGTGGGTATCAGTTAGACCTAGAAAAATTAGGAACTAGATTAGGATATATTTTATTTGCTATATAAATAAATATTGTTTTTTAATGAATATTTTAAAGTGTAGCTATTTTTAATAAATAAGTTAGAAATTTTGACTAATTCCATAATTTTTTCTATTTTTTATGTATTTATAATAGATATTGAATTTCTTTATTTTCTCATACGCTTACTTATTTATATTTTAAATCTTCTTAACGAAAATCCTAGCTTTATCGAGTCCTTCACATATACCGTTTATATATCATTAAATTAGTCATTATTTTTTTTTAGATAGATAGTATTTTCTTCCAAAAACACTAGCACATACTAACTTCTATTGGGTTTTTTTTTTAAAATGTAACTCTTCTCAAACTTTTTTACTCAAATACTATGATGAATTAATTAAAAGAATATGTAATATTGACTCCAAAATATTTTAGCCCTTTTGGATTAGTAACATAGAAAAAAAAGACTTACATTTTCAATAGATAAATAATTGGGTTCATTCTTAGACATTGAAATTTAAAATTCAGAATTTTGAAGTCTAAATTGTAATATTCCAAAAATTTTAAGCTAAGATCTGAATCATTTTGTAGCGCCTCGTAACTCTATTCTTAAAATTTGAATAGTTCGTTGTAAGTGTACTTGAAACATGTTATTTTCTATTTTCTCATGTGTTATAAAATTCTTTACCAAATAAAATAAGTTATACTAATAACCTTAAAAAATAGTACAATGTCGAAATGGGCCAAGATTTTTAAACTTTATCAAATTTAGTCACTAATCTATTGCTATTTTTGTTTCCTCTATCTTTGCTATCTTTGTTTCCTCTCTCTTTTATTAATTGATTAATTAATTGAAGTTAGTTTCTTCGATGAAGATGATTATTGTAATAGTGGTAATGAAAGAAATTAACTAATTTATTCGTTTTGCTTGTTCGGAGTGAAATGATTAATAGTCCCAGTCAAGGGAAGAAGGTCGGTAACAAAAGGGAATCTTTCTTTTTCAGTTAAGTCTGCGCATGAATGATTCACTTGCCGCCGCTGACGTGACCATCTCCAAAAGATATGCCTCAATCTGTGGCAGATCAACTATAGGGGAAATGTGTTGGGAGACGACCTCCCGCCGCGGTAGTATGAGCTTTCCCTTTCCTTGATGTTACACAGGATGCGCAATGGGGGGTAGTACGAGGTGACTGATAGCATTACATTAGAAGAATAGAAAGAGATGTTAAAAACAACGACCATGGAGACTTGGGGATCTAGAGCAGGTCTTTCTTGTATATCCCTCGTGTCGAGAGCTACTTCCTCGAATATCAACGCAGGGAGCCGCGAGGAGAGGAGCTTTTCAGCCCTTTTGCTGGATTGTTGGTCCGCAGCCCCGCCCTATAGAATGAATAAGGAGAGGCTTATCGATGACCTCACCCCCCTTGTCACTTAAAGGGAAAGCCAGAGAAGGGGGCCTACTGGAAACCCTCGCCTTCGGCTCCATACTGAAAACGCCGGCCATGAAGGGACATCACGACTATCCTTTCTGGTAATACCGGGCTTTATATGATCCTGATCAGTGATCAATATATATATATATATATATAATTGAGTACACATAAATCATTGTTTTTTGAAAAATTATTTATTAAATCATTGTTTAATCTCCGTTATTGGAGTTACCATAAAGTACTAAGTAGACAGCCATTTTTTAAGCTTGAAGAGTCAAAATTTGAAAATCAATTTCTTGCACCACATTTTATATAATACTCCATTGTATAAACATCTCTCGTATATAAAAATAATTTTTTGAAGAGTTGGGATACAAATGTAATGCAAGAAATTCTATATTCACTAAATAATCGAAAAAAGATGGTTTTTGGCCCATGCAGGTCTCGAACCTGCGACCTTCGCGTTATTAGCACGACGCTCTAACCAACTGAGCTAATGGGCCAAGTTGTGAGTAAACTTCCATTAATTATTTATTAGTCTCTACTTATTGAAATTATCTTAGTCAAAAGAAGCAGCAACTTTGACAAGCAGACCGAAGAGCGCCAAAGGAGCAGAAAAGAAGGGGCTGTGATCACTTTCCAAAGTGTAAACATGTTGTGGCTTCCATCTTCTTATCATTGCATCTTGCTGTTCCACCTTCAATACTCGATCATGCGTCGTTCGTATGTATATTCTATGCACTCTCTCCGTTCCCTCTCCTTCTTTGAATCGAGCGCTTTGTAATGCTTGAATTGGCCCTGGACGCAACAACATTGATGCTAACGTTGAATCCTAAGTAAGAAAAAATGAAATATCATTACATTACATGTATGAAGAAAAAAAATCATCATGGATGACAAAAAGACTAATTAAATATCGGGATTAGTAATCTGAAGATTAAACATCAAAATGTCACATTAGCCCTTCTCTAAATTCTTCTCTCAAAAAAGTCAGTTAAGAAAGCCAAAGTTAATTAACTTTTGATATAAAAGTATATCTCACTTTAAACTCAAACAAATATCTTATATTATATCGTGTTTATCTCATTTTTAATCTAATGAAACAAACATTTAATAATCTTAACATTATAATTTATTTCGAAAAAAAATAAGTTGTTTCATCAATCAAACGATCATTTCATGTAGTGTTGGTTAATTATAGTGAAAATTGTTGAGAATATAATTAAATAATATAATAAAAGTGTGCTCTCTAACCGCTTAAATGAATTTAATTACCTCAAGTGGACTCATTTGGTAAATGATTTCCCGTTGGAAACTTTTCTTAACAACAACACTTGTTGGAGGCTTTTCGGGTCCTAATCCAAATCCCATGTCATATACATCTCCAAATTCTGATAAATCGGGGACTCCCTGTGAGTTACAATCAAATATTATAAATTTATTATTATTGTAGCTGAATAATTATTAAACCATTGTTAGCCTGAATAATTGTAACGTAGCTAGCTGTCCAATTTAGCATAGATTAGGATATATCGGTGTTGCTTAAATAAAGAAGTATTCCCCAATCTATGGATTTAATAATTGAGCTAACATAATTGCTTGATGGAAATGTTGTGGTTACATAAATGATAATTAAATTATGTTGAATAATGCAACATAATTTAATGTGACGTCAGAGTAGCAACTTATAGGACCAAACATTGTATTAATAAATTATAAAATAAATTATTTTACTCTTAAACACGTTTTAAAAAGTCACAATTAATAAAAGAATTGGTTGACTTAAAAAGGGGATAGATCCAAGGTTGGACAAAACTATTGGTTTTAGAAATTCTTAGCTTATATTTGTTATTTAAATTTTTTGCACATTCCTAAACTACTGTTTATATGTCTCTTAAAGTAAAATATTTATTAAATAGAGCGCAGTTGTAAGAAGTAATTCTTTTTAAAAAAAGAAAACTATGTCATGTAAATTATAGAGTATCAACATTTTCGATCGATTTAAGAAAAGAAGGTAGTTGTTTACTTACATCTTTAACATCTTGTTGAGACATGAAACCAGTTCTTAGCATGGTTGCTGCAATATACACTGCAACCTTTATTTTCTTTGGGAATTTGTGGATAGCATCTGTTACACTCATTCCTCCAGCGCTATGTCCTACCAATATTACCTATATTTATCCATCCGATAAACCAATTAATAGCGGATTGATGAGATATATTCATATCATAATATATGAACAGTTTTTATAATCATATATAAATGTTATGATATGCTTAAAATCAACTTTGAAAACTAATTTAATCCCATATTAATGCAAAGGAAGGTCTAAAACCACAAAAAATTATAATTTAAAAACCCTTTATTGATATTCAATTAAACTATGTCACATAATTGAATTGAATAGAACATAAGTATATCAAAAATATGCTTGTTGCTTTACAAGAACAAAATTACTATGAGAAGTAAAGCTAGAATATTTAGTTTATGAATTTTAGACCACAATTTATTTTTTTACTTTATGAGTTCTGAATAAATTAATTATTTATACATATTAAGTAAATATTTTAACACAAATATTTATAGGACAAGTATAAGATCGTACTTGTTCATTACGAGGCAAAGATGACAAAAAATCTAGTAGAGGTTTGTTATAGTCATGGAAGGATAGGATAGTGTTAGGGTCAGATGGGTCGATGCCAGCACCTTTAAGGTCAAGAGAGGTGACTTTATAGCCACAACTCTCTATAAGACACCTAATTTTGTACCAGCACCACCCTCCTCCCCCTATTCCATGTATTAGAACGAAGTGACCTCGTTCTGATCGTTTACACTTCTCCTCCACACCTTCCATCTTCATATCTACACACTCTTCTCCCATCTGCTTCCTCTAATTATAAGATGTTTTTGTAAATAGTATATCTTTTTTCTTCACTTTGTTTCTATTTTAGAGTCGATGAAAATTTCAATTTATAGTTGAGAATTGAGATGGTCTCTCATGTCATATTGTAATACAATATTCCACAACATATTGCTTCGTGTCCTAGTCAACCTATTTTTATTTATTTCTCTTCAAGTAGAATGTTAGATATATATTTTTTTAATCAGATTTTATATTATTCTATGTTTCATTTAGGAACTAGTGGGATATAAAATTTTAAAAGCCTTCATTTCTGCAAGAGGTCATAGTAAAGAATATTGGTTGACTTACAAAAAAAAAGGGATGGATTCAAAGGTTGGACAAACTTTATTGGATTTAGCACTAATTCTTATTGTTTGACATTTGAAGTCTAATTAAAATATATTCAAATGAAGTTATGAGCGCATATATAGAATATCACTACTTTATATTCGTCCTTTCATTTAATTATAAGGTTCTAAAAGTTAGATGATTTAATTTGGACTTCAAAAGTTAGAATAGTGTATAGATAGATCATATACACTATTATACAAGTTTGATACATGTATATTGTTAAAGTAAATAATGTATCAAAAGAGTTAACTTGTAAGTAACGGTCATATTTATTTATTTTATTTTATACTACTTGATAAAAATAGACTTACAAGTTAATTAGAATAATAAATATTGTTCATAGAACCCGATATAATATTTTTAAAATAGAATAATGCACCGGCCTGGACGTTGACATTGAATTGTTTATTATGGTAAATCTTGTTTAAGGAGATTATTACATCTGTAATCATAGGAGTACTAAATTTCATAATGAATCTTTATTCTTATATACTAAATTTCATAATTGACAGCTATAGGACGATAATTCTGTGGTTTTACTTTTCTTTAAGGGACTTTTTATGAGTACTAAGAAAGTAAGATTTGCATTTGTCTAATCCAAAATTCAAAACAGATTTGCATTGTTATTATAAAAAAGTGGAAATTGGTTTCGCCCGAAGCATCATCGGACCAATGATCACCCATGACTTCTGTGGCACACTAGAACTACAAAGGCCTTTGATGGTCTTCACTCCGTCAAACCTGTACGAGTAGTGAAGAAATATAGATTTAGTTGGTTGTTGACCAATGGAGTCAATCAAGGGGCTGATTTGCTTTCTAAAAGAAATGGTTTGAGGGACGATGATGACACAAGTCTTCTTTTTAATCTTTTAAGAGCTAGAAAATGTGTTTCTCTGCATAATAATTATCCTCTCTTTAATCAAATAACAGACAAAAATATCCTTTATGAAAAAAACTTTGTTCAAATTTACATTTCCCTCCCTTTCTCAATTTTCATTCACTTCATTTTTCCTTCTTAAAACTCTCAACAAGTTTTTTTTTGTAAGATAGTTCTTTTTCTATTGAGAAAAGACATAAATTTCTCTTTGAACTTGTTTCGAAAAGTCAGTTATACGCTTAAACTATCATAGTGATCTATTATACACCTATATTATTCTAAAGTGAATTTTCTTACCCCCTAATACTGATATGGCAAAAAAATAAAACAAAATAAAAAATAGGCGCATCAGTTTGAAAATAAAGTAAAAAAGAAGAAGCTAGAATCCTCTTTTCTACCCCCACCCTCACACCTCTTCTTCTTCACACCCCACCCTTTGTCTTCTTCTTCATTCTTTATTTTTATCACACTTTATTTTTTTATCACAATCTAAAAGCACAATTTTTTTTATTCGCAATCAAGTTAATTTCCATAGATTTGTTAGTGAATAATTGTATTTTATCTAGAAAAGTTTTGATTGATTGTTTCTATCTTTTTCATTTTTTTGACTTTGTTAAAGAAATTTTGGTTGTTAATCAATTTTTGAGTTTGGTGGTGATGGGTGGCAAAATTTAAAATAGGTAATTGAAGGTAATGAAGAAGAAAAAATCGATATTGATAATGGTGGTGGTGATATTTGGTGTTGGGTGACAAAGAAGAAGAAGAATTGAAGGCGATATAGTGGTGGTGAAGAACAAAATCAATAGTGAAGGTGGGGCCGGATATGATTTTCCGATGAAATGAGAATTGAAAATTGGTGGGATTTAGTGATGAAGAAAATATAATTATTAAAAAATTAAAATAATTAATTAGGGATTAATTAGAGTAAATATAGTTAATAAAAGAAAAGTTAATTAATAAAGAAAACAAAATAAAAAATTATAATTTATGACATGGCGCTGACGTAGTGCTGATGTGGCAGCGAGTGTAATACACCACATAATGTGAGAGTGGTGTTACACCTCTCAGGGTGGTAATAAATTCACTTTTGAATAGTAAAGGTATGTAATAGGTCACCATGATAGTTTAAGCGTGTAATTGACTTTTTGGGACAAGTTTAAGGAGAAATCTATGTTTTTTCCCTGAGTCAATTCCCTAAATGGTCACCCAAGTTTAGGGAATTGTCTTGAAATATCATTTATGTTTCATTTAGGTACAAAATATCACTCAACTATCACTATTTTCCTTCAAATATACTTGACACTTCAAAAGCCTCACTCTCTCCTAGTTGGCATGACATGTCATTAAAGTCTTTTTTTTAATAATAAACTAATTTGATTCATTAAACCCATTTAACTAAAATAATGATCATATTATTTAAAATATATATATATATATATATATATATATATATATATATATATATTAGTTTATTAAGAATAAATCTTCATACTTAAGAATCTTTTATTATAATTAAACTTTTTTATTTTTTTATGTTATGAAGAATAGGTTTTTAAAACGTATTATAATATCATCAATTTTAAATACTAATAAACATATGCATTCAAAAAAAAAAATCAATATACAAATCACTCATGAATGCTAACTTACATCAATTAATCATAAATAATATAATGAATCAATAATATTAAATGTCAATTAACTATTTTTAAAATTCATGCTTACAATATTTTTTTCTTGAAAAAAAATAGAAAGTGAATAATATTATTACTATTTTTTATCCAAAAAAAAAAAATACTAAATATCTCAAAAATCTCCTTCTATTCTAGTTGATATGTCATATTATTAAATCATCATTTTAAAAAATAATAGACCTATTTAATTTATCAAACTTATGTCTCTAAAAATCAAATTTATAAATTACATGAGAATTTATGTAGATTATAAAAAAAAATTAAAAAAACTAATTCCTTTATATTTTTTTACCAAACAAAATTCAATGAAAAAACTTTGTGTGCAATTATTACTTGGTAATTTTCAAAATCCCTAAGTAAATTATTTGAAAATTTTAAGCAATTTTTTTTTATAAAATTATTCAAATAAATTTGTAAGGTTGACAAAAAAGGTTGGTAAGAAAGAGAAAATTATTATTTAACTTTTTTTAATTTAATTTTTTATTCTTATTCTTTTATTGCTATATTATATTAAATTTTAACTTATCATACAATTAAACACCAATATATATTCTTATCTCAATCCCAAATTCATGAAATACAAGTAATAATTGAATTACCTATTTTAATTCAATAATATACATATTATATGAGATTAATATATTGATAAATAAAGATCAAAATTTTATTTTCTAATATAAATATTTTTCACTTTCTATTTTCTTTTCAAAAAATGATCTTGTAAGTATGGATTTCAAAGTACCCAATTAATTATTTTTAATAGTTAATTGACCTTTAATATTATTGATCTATTAAATAATATATGATTAATTGATGTAAGTTAACATTCATGAGTGATTTATATATCAATATTTTTTGAATATATGTGTTTATAAGTATTCAAAATCGATGGCATTATAGTAAGTTTTAAAAAACTATTCTTCATAGCATAAAAAAAATAATTATAAAAGATTCTTAAGCATGAAAATTTCTTCTTAATAAACTAATATATACTTTTTAGAAAATAATAAGATCATATTTTAGTTAAATGAGTTTGATAAATTAAATAAGTCTATTCTTAAAAAAAAAGCTTTATTGACATGGTATGCCAACTAGGAGAGAGTGAAACTTTTGAAGTGTTGAGTATATTTGAGAGAAAATAATGATAGGTGAGTGATATTTTGGTCATAAATGATATTTCAAGGCAATTCCCTAAACATGGGTGACCATTTAGGGAATCGACTCCTTTTCCTTTTTCTATTTGAAGTAAATAAAAGTGGCATAGGAGATCATTTCTATTGTTGGTCACAGACAGTAAAGTATGATAGAACTAAGGTTGGGGACTTGGGATGATTGAATATATATTACACATAAGAAAACAGTTCACATGCAATAAGTGTACTTAAAAAACAAAGCCTAGGTGGCCTCGTGAGCTTACTGCAAAAAGGGAAAACATCATATCATATATGATTAATGTAGTTAAACATGCATATTGGACTTTATAAATATATATATATAAATATATATAGTAGCTTTTACATTAAAACTTAGGAATTAGCAAAATACAAATTTTATAGTTAAATAACCAAATATGTTATTAATCTTATTTAACGATGGATCAGATCGATTATATAAAGAAAAGTATTAGCTACGAGCGATTTAGTCAAGAATTAACAATAAAGTTTGTAGCTCACTTCATTTTTATTTTAAAAATATTGCTACTACAATTCCTAATGGTTGTGTAAAGCGTTTATATCTAGAAGACTAGATGTTCCTTAAGTCAATTTTTGGTTTAAAGTTAGACATAAATCTGGTAAAATATACTAGCACAGGGTGGCATAAAGGGTGGAGCCAAACAACATTGATTGAGAAAGAAAGTAATTAGAAATGATTTAAGCTAAACATGGACCATGCAATTCATTTTTCTCAATTTTGGCAATTAAATATCAAGAGAAACAAGTTCTGCCAAAAGAAAATATTCTTTTTTCAAAGTCATGACACATCAGTTCGGGTTGGTGCAATAGCAACCGTAAAAGTTGTAACATTTTCAATTGCCATTTTTCATTGTCAAAAATTGG